GGTTGGACCGCGCGCCGACCCCGCGCGAAGCGACCGGGAGGCTGGGAAGGCCCGGCGACCCGATGCGGCCCTTCTCCAGCTTCAGGACAACCAGGTGGGGCTTTGGCGAGGATGGGGGGTGCAGGCCCGAGGATGGTGGGGCTCTTCATAATTGGGAATGTAAAACTTTAAGGCAAGGGGAGGGGGCTTTGAGGCCTGGGGTGGGGGGGCTTCCTTCCTTTATCATAGAATGAGGTGAACTTAAGCCCAGAGGGTTGGAAACAGGCTGGGAATGGAGGAAACGTGTTGCATTGGGGCCAGAGGCGACCCCCACCCCGTTTTTAGAAGGGGCTTTCAATCCCTCGCCCCACTTGGGGGTTGCCAAGGGGTCTCCAGCCTGGGGGAGACCTGCTTCCAGCCCCTTCCCTTGAACCTGCTCAGGGGAGACCCTGGCAGGCCCTCCATCCCTTGGGTTGGAGGGGGAAAAGCCCCTTTTAATTCCAGGGCAAGTCAGTTGGGGGTCCAAAAGGAGCCCCCTGGCCCTGGGGAGCTTCCCATGGATCGCTCCAGGAGAGGGGAGCCCCCAGCCCCACATCTGGGGGGGCATGACCTGCACCCCTGGCCCAGCAGTGGCGTCTCTGCAGAAAGTCTTGGGCTCCCAGGGTGGGCTTTGGGGGCCTGGGACCCCTGAAGAACCCCCCCAGAAACTGCTTGAAATAATAAATATTAAATAATTAGAACGACCCAGATCAAAATGAGCAATAATCACAGATGTCCAAAGTGTAATATCAAAATATTTAAGTAGCAATTAATGGCGGTGGGGGGGAAAAAGTGGGGGGGGGCTACCAGAATGCTTTTTCCTGTTTTTCCTTTTTTTAAAAAAACGTTTTGCCTTTATTTATTTATTTTAAATAACCGTTCTAGTTTCACTTCAGCCTTCACTCAAGTGTCGTTTTCTTTGTGTATGTAAACATATTCCTTTCCCTTTTCTCTGTGTTTTTTTTCCTGTTATTTCATCTAATTAATAAAAATCAACCCTCAACATAAAATGTACATTCTCTCCTCCGAGGATGGATTTTAAAAACAGGAGCCCAGCCTTTGCATCAATGAGCAAGCAACATTTCAATTGCGTATAATGTATATTTTTGATATGGGAATCAAAGTCGATGCTGTTTTGGATCAAAAGGTGGCCCTATCTTTCCTTAAATTAAACAGCCACCTGACAGCATCTTCCTTATCTAATTCGGTCAGCGCTTGCGCCAATAACCACTTACTGACATTTGGAAAATTTACCGCATGGATATTCTGAGCAAGGTTTAAACTCCCATCTCCGAAAGACCTTGGAGGTTGAAGTTCCTTGGCACAATTGAATGCAAATATTATGATACCCCAAACTGAGAACAGCTGGTAGCGACCCTGTCTGCCACCTCTAAGCATAGATCAGGACATAGCCACACTATAGAGTTGCTGGTCCTCAAGATCAATGTTCAGGAATACGACTGGCAGAAATATTTTCTGGTCCCAGAGTCGTATAAGACTTACAATACCAAAATGGAGAAAAAAGAAGGAATGTTGGGCTTTGCCCTTAGGAAGGACATGTGTTTGCACAGCGAAAAAGCTTCAATCTAAAATTTATTTTCTTGGATGTGCTCATCCAGTAAGCCAACGATATTCAGAAGGAATCTGGTAATGCCTTTTCAGACTAACAAATTTTATTAAAAGGCGTAAGGTTTCGTGAGCTGCAGCTCACGAAAATTTATGCCTTTAAATAAAATGTGTCTATGCTGGTCGGTGACTATAACAAAGATTGATTTGATTTGACTTGATTTAATAAAAATTGTTGGCTTGACAAGGTGCTACCAGACTCATTCTGATTTTTGGCTGCCGTAGATTAACATAGCTCTCCTGCTCTAATGTATCTGATAAAAGGGGAGAAAATGACCAGTCCCATCAAAAGGGGATAAAATGATCAGCCCCTTTGTCTCTCAAGTTTTAAAAATAATGCATCCCTTTGGAAGGTCATGAACTCTCTGCATATATTTCTACAGAATTCACAGGATAGCAGAGCACGGGCAATTCTCAGCAGTCCCTGAGCTGCAAAGCCAAAAGATAAGATTAGTCAGAGATTAAAGATCCACCAGCCAAGGATGAATCTCAGCCCTGGACAGACCATCCTCCAGCCATCATGCAACATTTAGGACATATTTGGGGATTGGAACGTAGCCCCCAGGAATTTATTTTGCAGTGTTTCTAGTGGGGAGTCATTGTTGCGTGGCGTTTACTAAGGTTTGTAAAAAAAAAAAAATGTAGTTCATGCTTGTTTTATTGAGTATAATAAGTCCTTTGATAGCAAACTTATGCTTAGGCACATATTCTGAGCCCCAGAGATAATTTGCCAGTCTGGAAAAGGGAACATCTGTGCTATAGCTTGGCATGAAATTTGCCTTGGCTGTCATTTTAAAGCTTGTTCCAGAAGTGGGGGGTGGGGTGAGAATTAGGGAAGAAAAATAAGGAATATTGCAAACGATCAAAGTCAGTGTTAGTTTGTCCACAACCTGCTGCGTTTGGATCTGGGGCAGTCAGGAGCACATCTGTACATGAAAGAAAACTCCTTTTATGATTGGCGGTGTTTGCGTTAGTCTGACCCCAAGATTGTGGCTGGTCCTCGTGTCTAGAACCAGGAGGTGGAAGACACAAGGGGCGGTTAAGGAAACACCGTTTGAAAATAATCTAAAGCTACTAAAGTTTGCTAGGAACTCAAACATCAGGGTTCCCAGAAACGGAATGTGTGGCCACATTTGCAGCCAGGAGCTGAGAAATTAACCAGGTGGGATGTTATCAATTTGACCTGTAGGCATTTGATTACCAGCTCAAAAGTCACCTCCAGGTGACCACGTATAAAAGCATAAGCAAGTTAGAAAAGTCAATTGCGAGTATGTCACGAGTTAATTTGGGTTTGCACGTCTGCAAAATCTAGAAATAAAAGGAAGGACTGCGTGCTTTGAGGTAGGGCCTCTCCTGGTGTGCAAGTTGTCTCTGGCACGTCCCATTTAAAACACATCAAAGAGCAGACGATAAGGAAGAGCCGCCTTCTCCCACCAGGAGTCACCCCTGGGATTACGCTGGATCTGTTAAAGCAGATTTTATGCTCCTGAGCCCTTTGTTATGCCACCGAGCGCTATCAGAAACGTTTGTGACTTCCTGGGTTCAGTGTGGAAGGATTCACGTCATGGGAAACAGAAGCCAGGTGGAAGGTGGGGCGAAACGAAGTGAAGCGTGGCTTGCCAGACCCTGGGCCTGAAAGGCCAGCCGTCCTGCAGAAGAACCCGTGCCACGAGGTTTGTTCTTCCGTCAAGCCACGGAGCGATTGGAGTTTTACCGTTTTATTATGAAGTCTGTTATTAACTGCGTCAAGGGCATCTACGTCGGCTGGTGAACAAGGCCGCTGGTCTGAAGGTGGTGTCCCTGTAATCCAAATTACGACCTGTAGTAACTAGAACACAGAGGACCAAAGTTGGCCATGTGCAAAGAGAAGGAATTTCCTTTAGCTGGTTCCCTTGTAACCTTTCTCCTTGCTAAGAGGGGAGGGTAGAGTGGGCTGGGCTGGGTGTGCTTTTCAATGGCAGTTGTCAAGCTCCCTGGCTTCTGGGAGACCTTTGTCAGGATCATTCCTCTGTTTACCTGCGTTCAAAACAAGCCGGAGGACTGTATTGTTGGCTGCATTCACCCCAGAGGGTTAACCAGCTCAGTGAAAAACTCACTAAACTTGGTTCATTTTAATTGTGTGTGTTTGCTTTTAGAGCCTGCTTGCTCAGTTTATGCACCCCTGTCCTAGAAAATGGGTTAATTCACTCATGGTTAGTGAACACAAACAAAATCCCTTGTGGATTGCCATGGGAAGGCCATGGAGCCTTCAGTTACAGAGGCAGTCTACCTTGGGATTTCTGCAACTAGGGGGGCAATGTTGGCAGCGGTCTCCTTGCTTCACCTGTTCTGTGTGGCCTTCCCAGAAGTCCCTCCACTTGCCCTAGACGGTTGGGATCTGAATGGCGTTGATACGGAAAAGGCGTCCTTTTCTCCTGGAGGGTTTAAGCTCACCCACCTCCCTAGGAAGAAGCAGTCTATCTGTGGGAAGGAGGGAGGAGGATCATTGCTTTGATAGCCTGCTGGCCGACCCACCTGCCGAGGGGCTGCTGGAAAAAGGATGCGGAGTGATGCAGGACTCTTCTTGTCTGTGGCAGGACGAGACGGCGATGTCTGCTGATCCCCAGCCGGGCTGGAGGCCCTGGAGAAGCTGCTCGGAGAAGGAGGAGAACGAAGAGCCGGGTGCGGGTCTAGGCAGGCAGTTGGGTGAACCGGGGAAATTTGCCTACGCAGCTCTCTGTGCGGTTTCCTTGGCCTCCTTGTTCCCGGAGCAGGAGGAAAGGTGAGTGCTTCGGCCCAGGTGCGCTCGCTGCTGTTTTTGCTCCCCGCTCCTGAGAAAGCAACATGCAGAAAATTCAAAGGCCAGATACGTTGGGCTCTGCTCGGGTTATCGGTGTGTTTGTCGGAGGGGAAAAAGAAGAGAGGGCCTGAGTTGGACAGAAAGGGAGAGATTTGTGCCAAGGCCACATTGGCATCTGCAAACGTTTGCAGGGAGGCAGCTCGCTCAGCTTTTTGCAGAAAAGGAAAGCGATGGGCGGACATTAAGCAACGTTACGACGTAAGGGTTTATGGATCGAGCTCCCTTCATCAGGCGAGCGGAGGGAATTCCCGCGAGGAAGATTTTATATGTGCGTTGAAGTTGAGGGAAACAAAAGGAGGAGTAAGAACAGCTGGATTGGTCAAACCATAATTTATTTCAACCCCTGTGGCTCTTTGGATCCCCAAAGCAATCCCCGATTGACGAGCGTCTCTACATGGGGAGGAATGCGGTTGCGTATGAGAAATCAGTGCCGTGACTCGCTTCTCTTGGCCCTCTTTCCACAGCCCATACAGGACGGGAGTCGTGGAGAGCCTGGTCAGGTGGCTGGAGTTGCCGGAAGCCGTCTTGCCGTCCATGCTGGCCTTTGCGGGGGGCCTGGGGGCTGAAGGAACAGAGACCTTCGCTCGGATTCTCCGGGCCGAGCCGCTTCTGAAAGATCAGCCCAGCGCCGTTATGCTAGTGAGCCCGAAGCATCTTTCTTGGGATCCCTGCTCCTTTTCCTACCCTTACTGGTTGGCGTGGTTGGGCCCTTCCTGAATTCCCCTTCTCTTCTTTTTATTCCCCAGAGATAGACTACCTCTGGGAATGGAGGTGCCATGAACAAACCTTACCCTTTTCCTTCTCTTTTTCAAGAGTGGAAGAACGCTCTAGCCAAGATTTTCATTTTCATTTCATTTATCCAAATCTTGTTTCTTTGGGTAAATTCTTTGCCCTTGTTTCTTTTTTAAATTCTCATCATTTCTCCCATGTGTTTCTGTTTGTTTTTTAGGATCTCGTCTCCTTTGCTCTCAAGGATGGTAAGTGAATTCGAGGTCCTGTTTTTCCCTCCGTCCCCCAGTTATTTTTATTAGCTCTTCACCAGGATGACAGTCAAAGCGAAACGGCTTATAGCAGAGTCAGTGAAGGGAAAGAAATCAAGGCAGGCAGTAAAAAAGTGTAGTTTGAAGGAAGTCAGATCTCTCTGACACTTTCCTGGCAGCAGTGTTGAGGTTAAAGGGAATTTGTACTGTAAAAAAGCGTTGAAAATCGATATGAATCTCTTTTCTGTCCTTCTACCCATATACCGTAGCTATAGAAAAGAACAATCAGCAAATACATTATGAATGAAACAGTTCTGGAAAATGCATGTTAGTTTTATTTGTGTGTGTGTGTGTGTGTATAATTTAAATATTAATTTATTATTAATATTTATGTATTTATTACAATATTATTAAATAAATATTAAATAATAAATACATACATGATACAAATTTAAGAGCTCTTATATCAGCATCTGTTTGGGCTGCCTGATATGGAGTTTTACGTCCAAAAGAACCCTCTCCGATGTACAAGATTTAATTAGAAATAGTTCAAGGGCCACGTGTTACCTAGGGCTGTCTCTGGCTGTTGAGTAGTTGAATTGCTCTGAAGTAGGACATGCCTTGGCTGTTACTGATCGAGCCGGTCATAAGGGTACAATTTGCCACGGGAAGGGATAAATTTGGGGGAGCCAAACCATCGGCCACAGAGTTTGGACTGGTTTCCGCTCCGTCCATTCAAGACGTGGGTAGGACTGGTTTCCTCTGATGGCAGACGCTCACCCTTCCTGCCCCGTTTGCCCAGGATACTACGATGCTCGGCTGCGGGTGCTCCTGTCCCACGTTACCCGGTTGCTGAGGATCCCGTTGGTGGAACTGGAAGAGACGGAGGACTATCTCCTTGAATGTCTGAAGGAGGAAAAAGAGGCAGAATCAGAGTATGTTCGTCCCGGACCTTTCTGTCTTTTCACAAGGCACAGCCACAAAGGAATCGATACCGGGCAGCTGGGAAAATGCACGTGTTTTAAATATTTGGTTTCTGCAGGCAGGAGAGGACTGTGTTTTAATCGGAACGTATAAAGGTGCTGCTGGTTTTGAAAGCGCTATAACAAAAACCCAGATCTCAAGGGCAAAAGATGGCATTCCCCTGGAAGCCTCCGTATCCGTTTTCTTTCCTGTCTGCAGGTTTTTGAAGCCTCGGCCCAAATGTTTTCCCCCAAGAGTGATCCAGATGCAATACAATCAACTGAAAAGAAACATAATTGCTTCCAGTTGAAAATATTCTTTCATAAAGAGCTAAAGTAAACTAGCGAGCGCAGCCGAAAAATCTTCAAGCTGGCCATTTCATTCCGAGAAGATAATTAAAACGGCTCCACCATTTTAATCACTCCCTGGCCCTTTTTGGTTTAAAAGCTGCCTGAAATCAAAGTTGTAGAGCTGGAAAGAAGAGAGGGGAAGGTTCGTTTTGCACGCGGGCTCGTCACCGGCTTCTGTGGCTCCTTTCAGGTTTTGTTTTATTGAAATTGTAGGCTTCTGTAAAAAAAGGCCAGGTGTGAGCTAAAACAATTCACTTTAACACTCTGTCGTGGGTTTGAAACGCACCTCTCGGGAATTGCCTGCCGGTGTATTTTAATATTTGCTGTTTTTGTCACACAAGCTGCTTAAGAAATAGGAGCCGCCCGGCAGGTAAGTCGTTCTGCGCGTTTGACTTGCCGTCGCCTCCCTTTCCGATGCGCCCGTTTTTGCTTTTGTGAACCGAAAGAGAAATGTATTTGGGCCTGGCCCGCCCGTGAGCCCGTGGGAGGCAGCCACCCCGGTTGTGGTCTGTCTGCTGTTGGGACAGAAAGTGACTTTTTTCCCCTTCTTCCTGGTCACCCCCAAGAACGGCCGAAGCCACGCGGAAGAAGAAGGAGAGGAGGAAAAAGCTGAAGCGTTACCTGCTGATTGGCTTGGCGACGGTGGGCGGTGGGACCGTCATCGGTAAGCGAGATCTTCAGACTCTCCGTCCCTGAACGGCAGGCCTCCCCTCTGTTCCCATCGTCTCCAGCAATTCGTGTGCTGGCTGGGGATGATGGGAGTTGCAGGAGGGCATGTCCGGGGAGCAGCGGACTCAGCACCACCATCAGGGGAAGGTGACCGAGCAAAGAGTCGTGAATGCTGGCTAAGGCCAACATTGTTCGTTTTGCCTGGGTTGGGAACTGAAAGGCCCGCTTTCTGTTTAGGCCTGACCGGGGGACTGGCAGCCCCCTTGGTGGCTGCTGGAGCCGCGACCGTGATCGGAACCGCTGGGGCGGCTGCCTTGGGATCGACGGCGGGGATCGCCATTATGGCTTCGCTCTTCGGAGCAGCTGGGGCAGGACTCGTGGGTAAGGCGGGAGCTGGCTCTTGGGCGAGGAGGAAAACCCCCTGGGGGTTTTGCAAGCAGCCGCTGATGGTGCCGAGGGATCGTGCTCTTGATTCTCGGTGCCTGTGGGCGAGGGGAGGCTCCTGCCCCAGACCTCAGTTGATGGCCTGTCGGAGTTGCAGGGCAAGCGAATCCCACTCCTTGGTTGCCCCCTGACTGAAAAAAACCCACTTCAAACAAAAAGGGAAGTCCTCTGTCCACAGGAGTCCTGGGCAAATCACGTTACTGCTCAGAAGTCCACAATCTGGGTGGTATCTTTGTACACCCAGTCTCTGGTTGCACAACAGCCCTTGATTTTAAGCCCACCGGACTGGAGGGTTGGAGTCCAGGAGGCTTACCCCAGCCTTCAGCCTTCACATGCGGGGTATATAAAGTGAGCCCTTGACCAAAAGGGCTGGCTTGGGGAGGGTGGAAAGGGCCTGGGGGAGAATTGGAGACCTCCCCTGGTTCTAGTTCCTACCACACCGCATCCAGATCCGATGTAAAAAGCAAATTGGTTTGCAGGTTGGAGGAGAAACTTGCCCCTCTCTCAGCTGCCTAGCAAAGATTTAAAATCTTCTGGTTTTCCTTTTGACCAAGCGCCCTACTGCTACCGCTCTAATTTGTAAGCCAGGATCAAACCATGCTTTCCTCTAGCAATTGGAGCCAGATGGGTAGTAAAATGTCAGCTTCTCTTTCCTCAGCAAGGCTGACCCCCAGGGGTAGGCTCAGCTTGGAATTTCTTTCTCAAGCCAGTCTAGTTCAATGTGGCAGAAAGTTGCAATCCAGCCTCTGTGTCTGACTTGGGTTATTTGCAGGCAGATGTGGTCAAAGGTACTGGTTTTTCCATGGCCAGTATTTGGAAGAGCCAGGAAAATGCACCATATTAACTGTACTTTGGTGTGCACGCTTGCTCCATTAGGCTACAAGACAAAGAAGCGTGTGGGCGCCATAGAAGAGTTTGAATTCCTTCCCTTAACGGAGGGGAAGCAACTCCATATCGCCATTGCGATCACCGGCTGGCTTTCTGCTGGGAAATACGGTAAGGGCTCACGTCTCTGCCCTTGAGGTCCCTTTCCTTCAAATGTCTGCTCTCGTTCCATAACTTCACAGCAGTGCAGCCAAACCCAGCGGATATCGAAAGATTGCCAATTCTAAAAGGATTATCCGACAGTCCCGGTCACCGTTAGCGAATAGGCAGCTTTTTGCGTTCAGAAAAGTTTTCCGTTTTAGGGGGATATTTCTGTGCAGGCTGTGCGCGGTTCTAAATATTCTTAGCTTCTTGCTCTCGTCTTCTGGAATCCTTGCTCCCCAGAGGTCCCTCGTCCTGCTAGCAAATGCGCTTCCTCCTTTTTGCTTTTCCTCAGTTGACATCAGCCGCTACTCTATAACACACTTGGCTATAAAACGATGATTCGCTTTGATTGTTTTTTTACAAGCATTTCGGTTTGACGTTCACACCGCTTTATTTTGCTGATCTGAGGCGGAGGTCAATGCCTCCAGAGAGGCCGGGAGCTTTCCCTTGGGTGAAAGGTGATGGTGTGACGAGGCGGGTGAGGGAATTGTTTCAGGACCGGGCAGAGAAGGACAGCTGCCATGCCCTTGGGCCCAGGGATTAATTTGAGATTAATTCAGGATGGGGCATCTTGCTTAAGCGCCAGGGCAAGAAATTGTCCTCCCCCCAGTTGGAGGCTTGTCCTGGTAGAAAGATTTAAGCCCTTTGGGGGAGATGGGGCTCTTCCAGGGGTGCTGGATTATCACTCCGAGGGGCAAGGATTCTGCTTCCCCTTCTGCTTATGTTAAGAACGCTCCTTTGGGCTGGAGCATTTCGAGGGCTCAGGACGGCCCGCTCATGGCACCGGGGGCAGAGTGGCGCCCCTTTACTGGAGGAGGACCAGGAGCAGTGCCCGTTGTGAGGTCCTGAAGGCCACCTCTGCTCCCCCTAGTTGCACCTCACACGGTCTCTGGCCTTTGTAACTTTGCAGGCAGTTTCGCCGCTCCGTGGAGCAGCCTGTTGCAGTCCAAGGAGCAATACTGCTTAGCCTGGGAATCCAAGTACTTGATGGAGCTGGGCAGTGCCCTGGACACCTTGTGGAACGGGTTTGTTAACATGGTCGCCCAGGAAGCCCTCAAGTACACGGTGTTGGCGGGTGAGTGAGTGCCCAGCAGCCTTATTGTGGGGAGGGTGGAGAAACATCCCATTTCCTTCAAGTTGAGCTCAGCTGTGGGTGATTTCGGGCGCTTGGAGGCAATAGCAAGGGA